AAATAACAATGCAAGGTGTTTTAAGCAGAAGACTTGGAAATATTTAGAGTTGTGAAAATTCCAAATGAAGAGGCTCAAGAGTATTTATAGTCTTCAGAAAGGGATATGTCTCGTCAAAGCCATTTAATGCTATGAAGATAGTGGGGCACGTGGTGGAGCATGAAGCGGTTACCAGGAAGATGATGGGAAACGTTTTGACATGCTTGCCTAGGTTATAGGAATATGATCATCATGGCAGCGTGGTAACGACAATTGGAAAAAACAACTTGAAAAAAGAGTAATGATGGGTTTTCAAAAACAACAGCTGTTGGAAGACGAAAAGCGCATGTCAAGCCTTTAAGGACAACAAGCGAGACAGGTGTCGAACAGAAAGATCAAAGAATGGCTATTTCTTTTGGCGTCGAAATAGACATTCTTGGGGGGCAATTTGTTGGCTCCTGAATTCAACACCTACTATATTTGGTCTTTTAGACCAAAACTGGAATAAATAAAGCCAAGCTGAAGAGTGTTTCGATGTGTAAGATAATTCAGAGAAAATATCTAAGTTATATTTTAGTCTTCGACCAAGAATCACTATCAAGAGTTCGACTGAGAAGATCTTATGACCTTCGACTAGAAGAGAATATCCTGGCATCGACACAAAAGGCGAGGGACATTTGAATTTGAATTATTGGAGGGAAAGATAGTTTCACCAGTGGCTAAAGAGAAGCAATGTGGATGGAAGCTAGAGGTCGAGGTACATGCAGAGGACACTTGTCCTCATATTAGCGCAGAATCACCCCTCGACGGTTACATAGTTTTTAGTATAAATTAGGAAATCTGTGTAGTTTTTCAGAGTGTTCAACCTATTATGCTAGTTACTCAAATATTGTCCAAGTACCCGCTGTGTGAGAAAGGATAAACTGAGAAATGTACGTTGGAAACGCCTATTTTCATTAATAAAAGTCTTTTACATTGCTTTAATCTTATTCTGCAAAGTTACTTTTCCTGCATCTTTACCTGCATTTCTATATTTCTATTCACTTTCCTACTTTCCATAACCACAAGTATCCTGTCTTTGGTCGAACGTGCATTCTTCCTGGATTTCTTTTCTTACTTACATCAACCTGGTATAAAAATTAGCATATGTTCTGGGATCAATCTGATTGATCCTGCGAGTAACCAAAAGGACTTTCCTTTTTAGAGGATCAACGATTGTTTACCAAAAACCATGGTAAACACACCCCGACACAAAATTTTAATGAACAATTCAGTTGAAATCATCATCGTTTTTCGCACAACTCTTGTGTTGTTACAACCCTAATCCGCATAACTCTCTTACAGCACAACCCTTGTGCTGTCATGAACCCTAATGTAAATAATTCCATACCGTCAAACACAACTCAATTGATAATTCAGTATGATCGATCAATATGTCATTGCTTCACCATACTAACATCGGATTCCAAAGCGAATGACCAATGATCTTTCAAAAGAATAACAATCATTCTGTGATTGAATGGAAGAAATTAAAACAATATATCCAATATACCATTTTTGCACCAAAATTGTTTATATCATATATAAATTTGATTTATCATATTAGTGTAACTTATGGACGACCGATGTATCGCTGCTTCACCATACTAGTATTGAATTTCGAAGCATAGTCAACACCGATTCACCCAAACCATACACACCATGATGCCAAAATTTAATTTACTCGATTATTATTCAATTCATTCCGTGTTTTAATCTGATTAATATAGAATGTATAGAAAAATAAATAGCTATCAGATTCATGGTTTCGTAAGTGACTCTGATACCACTACAGGAAAATTGCGATCCAAAACGCAGCAGAAAATTAAAAATTTCCTTTAGTGATCCTTACGAATGGGCATGGTCAGTGATAAAAATCATTACCTCTTGTGATGATTCAGACCTTTGATATTGTGATCATGAACGTTGATGAATAACAACGTCTCTACTCAATCCACACAGACATATCACTTCCGGACACAATGCTAGATGCTTGCGAACGAAAACTTTGAGTGAGAGAATGAAACAAAATATACGGCTAGAAATCAAGATCAAATTTTCATCAAGTCAAATGCTTCAGCACAAGGATTCTATTTATAGAACCACTTATTCGGGCTACAAGCTAAAAGCCCAATTAAGGTTGCAAGCTAAAAGCTCAATTAAGCATACGAGTATCATACCTTATGATATACCGCATATCACTTAAGCGCATGGTACCTTACCATATTCCATATTTCACTTAAGTGCATTGTACCTTATGGTGTTCCTTATTTACTATATCTCTCATCAACCTGTCCTTATGTGTGTGAACCTGTAGGTTTTTGTGATGTTGGTAATTATATTAAATTACACATTTAACATAATAAACAGTGAGTGGTATCTAACAACACATCACTGCTACTCAAGTCACGAAAATGTCATGTGATCTGACAAAACCTTTATGTGATAATATTTATGTATACAATTATCCTTTTGTCTATATTGAACACAAGGCATAAACTGTGTCACCCTTGTCCAGTTCAATATTGGACCCTTAGACATTTATCCTGTTATGCAGGATGGACAAATTCCATCTAGGTCACTCATGTCCCTCCAACATGCTTTGCGAAGTACCCATCAACTGTCTTTATGGTCATCCAATTACGAATAACGTTTGATCAGCAATAAAGTACTTAACTCCACATCTAATGTCCATAGTGGTTTCAGGTCGAAGGGTGGTATACACCATTATCACCATGAGAATAACTTATGACACCTTGCATAACATTCTATGTAGTATTCTCATAGTGGGTCAATCCAGTATAAATATTACTCCTAATATTCATACCTATGTCAAGACTTGATAACTCCTTATCCATGATCTATGAGGTGTGATCACCAGTCTATCTTCATAATAATCTCAATGCTTTAATGTTATCCCACTTTGCAATAAAGCTCGACTACAGATATTTTAAGAATAATATTCTTATGTTTAATGGGATCTCATGATTAAGTCACACTTAATATTTCATTAAACAAACGAACTATTCTAGGGACTCTATTATTTTGGAAAAGCAAACATAATAAAGAAATGTCTTTTATTATTAATAAATAATTCGATACAAGTACCCAAAGTATTGGCCTTTAAGGCTTACACCAACAATATATGTGTCTTTTATGTCATTTTGTGCCTGTTTCATTTTGTGGTTGTAATGATGTTTCAAACCTATGCACTAAGTGTGCTTGTAACAGACCTATAATCTATATGTACCTATGTTTCATTTTGTTAATGTGCTTGAAAACAACTTTAATGTCAATGAATTATGCACCAATGTGTATCAGTCTAACATGTATCAGTCACACATTTTGGTACAAAACCTATTTATACGCCATTATGTATCATTCTTGTCACTGAAATATGCTTGAAAACAACTTTATTGTCAATGTATTATGCACCATCTGTATCAGTCCAGCATGTATCATTCCAACTTAAAGTGACAACATATATATAGAACATAACAACAATTTAATTGAAAGAGAAAATAAAATATTGCTTATTGATACAAAACCATTGATACATAACATGTGCTTCTATTGTAAATATTTGATACAAAATCATGATACATCAACTATTATAATAACCTACCGTAACAACATCTTGATTCAAACTCATAAACCTTTCCATTACATTATCTTAAACACTATTGAAAACTTAACAACAACTTGATTCAAATTTATAAACCTTTCAATTACATTAACTTAAACACTATTAAAAATAACATCTATGACAAAACGAGTGCAAGCATCAGCCAATTGTTTCTTTTCTTCTCCATTACAAGTTTTTTCTTTAATTTTTCAATCTTCTTTGGACTGTCTTCTACACCCCAATTTTTGGCAACTTCACATTCAATCTCCTTAACAATGTCCTTCGCAAAATCTCTCATGTAAACCTTGGTCATTTCACATTCACATCATTTTGCGAGAATCATTTTATTCCTTTGAACCTCACAAACCTCATCGTCCCACATAAACAATCCACATCCATTCTACAATTAGAAATATAATTAACACATATATAAGAGATACTGGAAATTTAACTACGATTACAAAGTTGAACAAATAATTACCAATGAATTTCTACATTTTCAAAATTTTCGATTTGATTTATCAATAGTATTGGAAACCCACATCTTCATCGTTTCGTCACAACCACATGTTGACAAGCCCCGTCCAAAAGAATTACCAACTGATGTTGTTTTGCTTCCACCCATGAACACTTGCAGCAGGACGGACGCTTGACGAAATTTGAAGAGATGAAAAAACGTGGAAATGTTGTTTTCGTCTGATGAAGAGAGAAAGGGAAAAGAAACCCTAGACTCGAGAAGAAATGAAGTTATGCCACACTGTCAGTACACCTGATTATGGATTACGATTTTTTTTATAAAAAAAGCCACGTTAGAATAAAATATAAAATCTTTAAAAAAATGTGACATTTGAAAAGATACCACGAAAATCTAATTAAGATAAAAGAGCGATTAAAAAAATTCTTCTACAAATGTTAAAAATAAAATTCACTAATATTACGTGAGTTGTATATTTAACCAAAAAGAAATTAAATAAGCAAATGAAATCTCGTGAAAAGGAAAAATCGAGAACTAACAATCCAACATTATTAAAAATAATATTCAACATGTAAAGTTAAATAACGTGACGCTCCGTGAGAAGAAAAAAAAAACGAATTAACATTTACATGTCACGCACGTAATCGTTATCACCGGTGGCAGCACTTTAAAAAAGAGGACCAACTCATAACCCACCACAACACCACCACAAAGAATATTCTTTTCAATTTCAATTCCAGGTATTTTACTCTTTCTCTTCGTTTCAATCCAGCAAAGAAAAGGAATCAATCAAACTGAAACACAAGATTAGACCTAGCTAGGGTAAATAAGCCTTCTCCATGATTTCTAACGCTGTTCTTTGATTTCGGCGGTTAAAGTTGAATGAAGAAGAAGCCTATGGAGAGTGTCAATGATCTGATCCAAGAGCTCAAGCTCCGTACTCTCTGGTGGTTCATCTCTATTTTCGCCGTATCATATTTCCTCACCAGTAAGGATTTTCACTTGACAATTCTGTATGTACTGTGGTAATGGTTCAATTGGTTTTGCTGTACTCATGTTATGTATGTTGATTATCTTTCACAGATACGAGTAAATCGATGTGGATGAATGTACCGATGTCGATTCTATTTGTTTGTGCTCTGCGCGTTCTTGTAAATAATGCTGAGTTTCGTTGGAAGGTTCCACAACCTAGATCACATACATATCTATCTCATTTAGAAAAAAAACAGTTGTTGTTGAATGATCCGCGCCTTTCTAGTGCGCCTTCCCCGGTTAAGTGGAAGAGGAAAATTGATTCTCCTGTTGTTGAAGAAGCAATGGGTGATTTTATTGATAAGATTTTGAAGGATTTTGTAGTTGATTTGTGGTACTCAGAAATTACTCCCGATAGGGAGTTTCCTGACCAGATACATGCTATAATCATGGACGTTCTTGCCGAAATATCAGCAAGAGTTAAAGAGATAAACCTTGTTGACTTGTTGACTAGGTATGCTATTTTTCATCTCCCATAGTTGTTGCCAAAGAGAGTATTATGGAAAGTACTAACTGTCGTATTCTTCTTATTCATTTACATTCCAGGGATTTAGTTGATTTAATAGGCGAGCACTTGGAACTTTTCAGAAGAAATCAAGCTGCTATAGGTGTCGATGTTATGAAAACATTATCTTCAGAGGAAAGAGATGACAGATTGAAATTTCATTTGTTGAACTCTAAGGAGCTTCATCCAGCACTAATATCTCCTGAGAGTGAGTACAAGGTGTGAGTGGATCAGTGGAGTGTTCCGATGTTATATATGTTTCTTTTGAGAGCTATTTATTTTATCTTATCTGACGAGTGCTCTTTTTGTAGGTTCTTCAGCGACTAATGAGTGCACTTTTAGCCACCGTACTAAGACAACGAGAAGCTCATTGTCCTGTGATTCGCTCAATAGCTCGGGAACTTATGACTTGCTTGGTGATGCAGCCTATTATGAATTTGGCAAGCCCTGTGTATGTTGTCGAATATTTTGTCTTATATTTATTTTTGCAATTATTCATTTTCGGGGTGGTGGATCTTCAATATGGGCTCTATGGAAGATTGTTGCTGCATCATATTCAAGATTTTGATTACAGTCTTTTAAGTAGTGCGTGTTTAATTGGGAGTGAAGTGTTTTTTCCTTGGTTAAAAACATAATCAGGGCTCACTTGGTTAAGTAGGCAGAAAGCAGGAAGATAAAAAAAGAGAGTAATGAAAATAATTGTCAAACATTGTTATGATGCAGAGTATGGCTCTACTTTATTGTCCGCCCTCTCCTATGTTATGTCACTGTCAAACAAGTCCAAAGTGTTTGTATTCTGTTTTGACTTTTTTTTTTGGTTTTTTTGTTGAAGATGTGGATTAAAAACTTTGAAGCTAGAAAAAGTGAGGCCATTGATGATATAACCTTGAAGGTTGAGAGGTCAAATGGCAGCTACTAGAACAGTAGCAAGTTTCATATATTTTGAATGTGTAAGCAGAGTGTAGGGAGAAATCATTGCAGGATTTAGGATGTTAGTAGTTAGTAAGTTGTCAAGATCCAGATCTTGCATAAGACCGACCGGGGGGTAACAAGATCATAAAACATAAGATTGTATCTAAGATTGGAAGATCCTATCCAATTATTTGGTGAGATTGAGAGAGAGTAGCAAGATCGTAAACCATAACATCGTAGCAAAAATTCTAAAATCCTACTAAAACGAAAAAACAATACTATATTCTAAGTATTTTTACACTATATTTTGGTAGGCAAGTGTATTCATGGAAAAATGATCATTTTATATTTTTTAGATATGAAAGATTGAGTTTTTATACTTTATTACCATTTACCAAAGTCAACATTGTTAGACATTAGGGACATATTTGTTCTATTACTTGGTTTATCATAAGCCCATTATTTAAAACAAACCCCACAACTGAGATGTTAATTCTCTAAATCCTAAATAAAAACTTTATCATTTCCAAAGGCATGCATTCATCGCCGCTGAACTGCAATTGTTGCCCTCTGCATCTTGTCATCCTCATCCTTCATTTCTTCCTTATTTTTTCTTTTACTCGTTTCTTTTCGGCTTGTAATGGTGGTGGTTGGAAAATGGCCGATTGTGGCCTGAATTGGCCAGATCACACATAATCATCGATGTCACAAATTTTTTCACAATTTTGTTACGGTTTCGCAGCGATCTTATTTGGTCTTTCTACCATACACATTCTATTTAAGACCTGAATTGTTGGGGGTGAGTGATATCCCAAAATCGTAATATTTCAAGATCTAGATCGAGATCTGGACAACGAGTCTTTGAGTGATGTGTGCATTAAAATGGAAAAGAATACAAGAAGCTGTGAATTATAATGAGATTTTGTGGCATAAGTCCAAGATGTGCTAATCATAATCAATTTGTTTCTTGTCGAACCAATGGTTTTAGGTTCTTTCCATCTATCATATTCTCATGTTTCATCAAAAACTAATTCCTAAACTTCAAGATAGGTTTAAAATAGTAAATATCATATTTTTTATTCAAGAACATCATCTTTTAACAATCTCATAAAAATTTAAGCGATTAGGTGAGGACACGCTAATGATTTTCTACTATATATGTTTAGCTTACCTCCTTTACGTAATATTAGAAACTAAGAGAGATATTCAATTGATCTCTGAATTCTATTTTCATTGAGCTAAGTTCTATTACAATTCGATTACAACACTTGCTTTAAAAGAAACTAAGTGATCACCTGTAATAGCTGGTTACCCTATGGCTGACTGACAGCGTTCAGTGAACTGTACAACTGTCATAACTAACTTTCTGAGTTAGTTCTTTCAGTGCTAAGGTAGCGCTAGTGTGTGAATTATCTATAGTCTCATATATGTAATAGCTCTTTGAGCTTGCAGAGTTGGTAATGCACAGGTGTACCTACCTTGCTCTGAAATTCAACTTTTTTATTGAATGAATGTGTTAGACAGGAGCCCTTAATTTGGATAGTAAGGATCTTGTTAGCTAACATGAGGCAATTTTATTATTAGTAGACAGTTTTTATTAAAGATAACCGTCATATGTAATTGCAGTAACTGTCATATGTAATTGTAGCTTTAGAATTGGAATTAATTAATTAGGTGAATTAGAGTGTTTCCTATAAATAGATGGGGTGATTGAGAAAGAGGATATCTTCGAATTTGGTTGGAAAGGGGCCATTTTGGCATCAGGGGAGGAGGTGCAGCCTGCAGGCCATCGAAGTTCTGCCGTATTATTTTGTAATTCAAAGGTATTTTCCCCATTTCCTTTTGTGTATTAGTTGGTTTCTATCAACTGATTTCCGAGCACTTCTGATCCGTAATAGGAAAAAAAAAGAGAAAAAACGGAGTTGGCATCAAGAATGGAAGAAACGTTTGGTATTTTTCATGAAGTGTTGAAAGACCATAGACATGAGCCCTTAATTAAGACAGTAAGGGTCTTATTAGTTAATAAGAGACAGTTTTTTATTAAAAATAATTGTCATATGTAACTGTAGTAATTGTCATATATAACTGTAGTTTTAGAATATGAGTTAATTAATTAGGAGAATGAGAGTGTTCCCTATAATTATAGGGGGTGATTGAGAGAGAGAGAGGATATCTTGGAATTTGGTTGGAAAGGGGCCATTTTGGCATTAGGGGAGGTACAAACCCTCAAAGTTCTACGGTATTATTTTTTAATTCAAAGGGATTTTCCCTATTTCCTTTTGTTTATCAGTTGGTTTCTATCAGAATGGTAATGGCAAGGATCAATCTCTAGAAACTTAGTCATTGAGGCTCCAACATCATGTTGAGAACCACTCATATGGCAGCCCCATGGCGGATTGCAGTGCCATGGAAAAGCTGTGGCATTGCGGGATTTGCATTGTGGTACCATGCCGGCCTCCACAAGCTTAACCTTTTCATTCTCCACTGTTTCTTTTTTTCTTCTCCGTGTTCTCTTCCTCTTGCAACCTTCTTGCATCCTCTACAAGAACTACTAGGCGACAAAGTAGGAAAAGAAAGGTTACAATTGTTAGAATCACAAAGGAGAAACTTCAGGCACAAACATCAACCTCTAAATGAAAATGAAAGGTGGTTGTTAGAGTGGTTGACGAAGAAGAATTAGAATATATAAACAATGATAATGTAGCAGTGGCAGAACAAGAGGAGGAGGAGGAGGAGTTTGCTAAAATGATGGAATTTGGATATTCAGGAGAAGAAGATTAGAGATATTTACCTTATAATGTCTATTTTGAAGAATTGGATGAGAAGTGTTTTGTTTTTTCAAGTCTTTATAATTCTGTTCTATTTTGAAGTTTGGAACTTGAATAGAAGTTCTTTTATTTTGAATGTTTTGAGAAGTTCTTATATTTTGAAGTCTGGAACTTGAAGAGAAGTTCTGTTTTTCTATTTCTCAATATATTATTCTGTTTTTCTGTGGTTGAGACCTCAATTCTAGTTTTCTCTATTTATAATTCTATTTTTCAAAGTCCCATGAATTCTGTTTTTTGGTGTTCATGGTGTTGTTTCTGCTTTTTGTGAGTATTTATTTTCATGGCGGATATTTGGCTTGCCACTATTTTCCGCCATCTGCCATAGACAACAATGCCACTTTTACCAAAACTCATACTATTTGGATTTTGGTGAAGACATGTGAATGATTTTATGCTACATGTTTAACTGCAATAGTTGAAAACATTTTAATACAGAATTTGTAGAGCATTTGCTTCCTGATTTAATAAAGAAAAATATCATATTTGTCATCTATGAGATGGAAAAAGTGGTTTAGCATTTTTCAACTTTGTTCCTTTAGTTTTTACAACATACTTGTAATAAAATATGTATAAATTTTTTTATCAGGTTTATAAATGAGCTCATTGAATCCCTTCTACTCCTCCTTAACGATGATGGTAAAAAGTGGACGGGTGGTGATCAGTCGACTAATGTAGCAAGTCATGGTCACGGTCGTTCTGTTGCTACTGGGGGTGGACACGACAATCTTACAGCCTCTAGTAAGCATCCATCTTTAAATCCAGAAACTGGTATGACATTAGCTAAAATGAGTGACCGGGGAGAGACATCATTACAATATAATCCACTCCATCAAGAATCTTCACAGGCCAAGCCTGCTGATTGGGCACGAATGTTGGAGGTTGCAACTCAGAGGAGAACTGAAATTCTCATGCCTGAGAATCTTGAGAACATGTGGGCGAAAGGAAGGAATTACAAAAGGAAAGAGAACAAAATTGTCAAACCTGGATCTAAGAATCTTCCCACTAAGAGTCCTGCTACTGACAGCTCATTGCCAAATATAAAAATGGCCCAGGAAACATTAGTGAGTAAACGTGGAAAGTATGAAATTGCAGAAGTGAAGTCTTCTCTACCTTCAACGCATAACTTGGCTCTGGATACCGTACAAAATGTTGCAAGAACAAATAGGTCAGAAACTTCTCCAAACCCCGACAAGAAACTACCTTTTGATGGGCAGCTTAGTGTTGATAATGTGAACGGTACAAAGGATGTTGCTTCAGATGGGTATAAAAGTTCACTGAAGAGGTCTAGCAGTGCTTCTGCCTTGGGAATTCAACCTAATCAAGAAAGCAGCTCCATTATTTCAGAGTTTTACAACCCGGAATTTGAGAGGCACAATGAAAGATTTCGGGGAAAGAGTTCTTCTGACATGATAATTCGGAAAGAGGGGCAATTAGCTCCAAAGCTCCGGTGCCGGGTATGCATTTTGGCTTTAATAGCTTTGAAATATACTAGTATTCTAAAAAGCACATTGATCTAAATCTGCTTTCTTTACCCGTGTGCTCTTCTATAAATCCGAGTTGAACTGGTAGTATTTCTGATATTTCACTGTGGGTGCTTGTGGATTATTGGTTTTGTTTGCTTATACATTGCAGGTTATGGGAGCATATTTTGAAAAAATTGGGGCCACATCTTTTGCTGTCTACTCAATTGCAGTTACTGATGCACAAGATAGAACTTGGTTTGTAAAAAGAAGGTTTGCTTTCTTGTCTAATCTTTCTCTTTTCCCTATTTTGGATTTAATCATACAAAATAAATAGGTTTATTAAGAGTCTTGCAATGAATGAAATATGACCATATTGAATGGGATATGACCTGAAAATGAGTTTATAAAGTGAGTTTATAAAGTGGGGGCACTCTTCGCCTTACAGACCAATTTCGTAGGTTCAGTTAAGCTCAACCCAAATTGTAGGATGACATTAGAGCCAATCCAAGATCCATTGAACCACATGCTAACAGGTCACTTGTTACCAGGCCACTCGGGTCACACTCTAGATGTCCAACCCTAGGTGTGTGTATGTGCATGTGTGTGGAGTCCGATATTAAATGAGATATAATCTAAAAATATGTTTATAAAATGGGACAGTCCTCACCTTACAAGCCGATTTACATGAGTTGAGTTAGAACCAGCCCAAATTCTAAGAATCTTCAAATCTCAAAATTGCTTGTTCCGTCTTTATCTCTGTACTTTGACTTTATCATAGGAAACTGCCATAATTTATTTTGGTTCTCTAACGACAAAATAAAATTCTGGGATCACCGAATTATATTTTCTTGTCTAATATTTCTCTCTTGTTTTTTGAGTTTAAACTGCTCCACAATACAGAATAAATATGATAGTCTTTCCATCTTTTCAAATCTCAAAATTGCTTTCTGTCTTTATCTCTGGGCTTTGACTTTACAATATCTTTTGGTGGCATACAGATATAGAAATTTTGAGCGCTTGCATCGACATCTTAAAGATATTCCAAATTACACATTACATTTGCCTCCTAAAAGGATATTTTCCTCAAGCACTGATGATGCCTTTGTACATCAGCGTTGCATTCAGCTTGATAAATATCTCCAGGTATTTTATTCCTTGTTCAAAAAAAGTAATAATCTTTAAATAGATGGATTCCTTTTCTTTTTTTTACTGTTTAATTGTGTCTTTCGTTAAATTATGCTGTCTTACATCAGGATCTTCTATCAATAGCTAATGTTGCTGAACAACATGAAGTATGGGACTTTTTTAGTGTTTCCTCAAAGGTGTGTATCTGCTTCATGTTTCTTATCATTGCTTTTGATGAGTTACCTTTTCATAATCCCTCTTTTGTAATTTTTGGTTTTAAAAAATGAGAAAATCTAACAAACTATTGTTTCTTTTATTCTCGAAGAACTACTCTTTTGGGAAATCTTCTTCTGTGATAAAGACCTTGGCAGGTATATAATTTTTAGCTGTAACATTTTTGTTTTATGCCATTAGGAAGTTTAAAAACTCAGGCTGTAGCTATTCTATGTATGGTGGTCTCTCTTGTCAACCTTCTGTGAATTAATAGCTTGTTTGATTGGTAATTCTATTATAAAACTTGTGAAATCGTTAAAAGCCCAGTGACCATTATAATACATTAAGAAGAAAGATTGAGTAAAAGTGGAAAAAAAAAGAGCTTCATGCTCTGCCATTCTAGTACGCCTTTTCTCCGTGATTTGGGATTCAAGCCTTTAGACATAGACTTCTCTGTCATTGTTGTGGGTATGAGCAAGGATATAATAGGAGGCCATGCAGCTACTATGATGTATTTTATGATATGACTTTTCTGTTGATAGAAACTGTTTAGCACTAGAGCTTTTTCTTTCATTTTCTTTGTAAAATGAACTGGGTTGTTCTTTAGCTATTTATAAGAGGAATACTTTTATTTAATTTAATTTATATTCCTTTTTATTTTATTTTTTGGGTTTTTCTTTGTACTGATTCCAAAACACAATGTTTGAATGTTTTATATCAATAGTCAATGTAGATGATGCTGTGGATGATATTGTACGCCAATTTAAGGGGGTTTCAGATGGTTTAAGGCGAAAGGTTAGTGGATCACCAACCCTCTTCAATGATGGACCTTCTACATCTACCACATTGTACTTGTCCTGGAATGCAGATGAATTGGATAAAAGTACCCCACAGCGAAGTGCCACAGAAAGTGTGCTAAGCTCTGATACTGAGGAAGGTGATAGGAACAGTAATTTAGACCATGATAATATTGACAGAGAAGAAGTACAAGATAATGGATGGCAATCTGACAATGCATTGATCTTGAAGGGTCACCCACCACTTTCAACAGACCATACTGACGAGTCCAGCAACTTGGATTTTGATAGAAAGCGTGATCTGTCGGTGGAAGCTAGGGTTAGCAATGATGTTCCAGCTGCAAATTTAGTTCTTACTCGCAATAATTTGGAGGATCCTGTTGTAGTTCCACCTGAGGTCTGTGTAGTTTGCTGAGTTTGCTTTTCGAAGTTACTCTTTACATTTAAGTATTTAACTGATGATTGAGAAACTTGACTTTCTGCTCTAGTAATTATCGGTGTGTGCTTAGATTATTTACTAGCTGGTTATTGTTTCTGGAATATATTGCAGTATAGAATGCAGCATGCTTTGTCAAGTAATATCATCTATAACCGAGCCGTGATGAAAATCATACAACATTAATACTTCCATTGTTTTATTTTCTCCCTTTCTGACAAAAAAACTTTAAATTAATAGAAGAAAAGAATTTGTACTTTGATTAGCACGCGAAAAGCTTGGTTCATTTTCTTGTGTTGGCTGTTGTGTTGCCCATCAGATTAATCCACCAAATATTTGAAGAAGCTGAACTATTATCGGGCATCCTAACTTTCACAGACTTGTTCTGTTCTTTAAATCTATTTTACCCCCAATATTTGCCAAATGCTTTGGTAGGAAGCTGTTTCCAATAACTTGTTATTTCTTTCATAAATTAAAAAACGAGAAGCATTAGGCAAACATATTGGTGGTTGGGAAAGTATTCTGGAAACATGCTTGGTGTAGCCCCTCATTTTACTCTTCTCGAAATAATAGTGATTTGAGAACTTGGAGGGAGCAGGAACGGAGTTTCACTTGGGATTACACGGGACATTTTTGGATTTTTGCATTCATTTTTTATGCGAACACTTCTGTTTTTGGTTTAAAACACATTTTATAAACATTAATAAGTTTGATTTTTTTTTTTGCAGTGGTCTCCATCTAATGTCAGTGTCCCTCTTCTGAATTTGGTTGACACGATATTTAAACTTAAGAAGAGAGGTTGGATAAGGTATATTACTCTATTTGGTCCTTCTGTTTATTCAAGTCAGTAATTGCTAAAAGCAATGCCTAACACTATTTTGTCTAAACTATTTTATTCTTATACCGATTTGCAGAGCATTCCTTTCGTGTTGCCTTTTTAAATATATTTAGTTTGTAAGTTATCTTATTTTATCATGTAATTTTGATCGGTGTTAGAGACCCGACTCATTCCTAGACATGCATTGCACCTAACAACTCATGGCTTTAAAATGACAGGCCCTTTTGAATTGTGATATGGTTTGAAACCACATGGTGAAGTGAGTTAGAGTTTTATGCTTGCACCTCTCATTGTTATATTTAAATTAAATTTGAGCTCAACATATCAAGCCTCATTTTGAATACTTTTTTCAATCTGATATCAGCGGGCTTCGACATTCTTAAGTTGTTTTAAATTTTGTTACTTCTAAGCTGAGTGGATTTGACTACACAAAATAAGTATCTTGAATCATGCTGTTGATTTGTTTAATTTCACAGATTTGGAAGTAGCTAATATCACCATTTATGTTAATACAGAAAATAGGTCATGACACTGTTGATCTGTTTAATTTACTGGCTTAGAAGGAGCTAATATCATTGTTTCTGTTAATGCAGAAGACAAGTCTTTTGGATGTCAAAACAGATATTACAGTTGGTGATGGAAGATGCTATTGATGATTGGCTCCTGAGGCAGATTCATTTACTTCGGAAAGAGGATACTGTTGCACAGGGGATTCGGTGGCTCCAAGATGTAAGAATTTTCAAATTTAACAGAGTAAACTACGTTACTTGGTTATCAATAGCCCGATTAGTTGCCATATATCTATCGGATGAATAAAGCTTTTAATTTTATAATAAAAAAAATGAATGTAGAACCTTTTAATCAGATATCATTTCCTTGTTATTTTTCTCTTGTTTGCCAAAAAAGGTTTTAATACATCTAGCACATCTTTTACACAAGCAAAAGATTACTGGTGAAGGGATAAAGTGTTGGCTTAAATTTACAATTTTCTTTTCTTGAACTTGGATGGAATCATCAACCGACAAAAATGAAAAAATAATGTTAGGGACATTGGCTTGTGTATATGTTTCATGTTGTGTGGCTGTATTTTTCAGTTCCTCTGGCCTGGTGGTACATTTTTTTTGAGAATAGGGACACTTCAGACGACAAATGGTAGCAGTGATCAAAAGCCTTCTCAAACAATAAGTGGATCTGAGGTGCGCAACATCACGAAACACGAATCTGGGTCTTTCGAGCAACAACTTGAGGCTGCACGTAGAGAAAGTGACATCAAAAAATTGCTGTTTGGTAAGTTTTATTTTAAGTAGAAGTAATCTATGTTGATTAATTTTAGATTGGTTGTTTATGGATATATTCTTCCACTTTTGAAGCTTTGTTTATTCTTCATACCTGTATGTTTTGTTATTTTCTTAGAAGTTGAGTCTGTGAGTAATAAAACACCCTGTTAAGTTTGTGACTCTTTTGCAGTGACATGCCCCATGGTTTGCTTGTTGGTAATTATACCCTTCCAACATACTTTTTTTTCACAATTGATTTTAAAAAAGTAATATGATAATGATAGGACCCGAAATGAGAAGATTGATTCAGAGACTAGTAGTAATTAAGTTTATTATTGAGGTGTTTTAGTAATTAGTTGAGTATCTAAGTAATATGAATATTTTATTGTTATTTTAGACCTCAGAGAGTGTGTTAGTGTAATTGCAAGCTTGCTACAATCGGAACTAAATGAGATATTTGAACAAGGTTACAGTTCAATCAAGGATTTACGAAGTACTATTTCTGCAACCATAAAGATATGAGAGGAAACATTTTTATGATCACTGATTTGTTCAAATTTATGATTTGTCTACATTTTAGACTCTGTTGAAGAGATTTTATGGTGAACTTAGTGTCATAGTTGCTGAAGAAGACCTTTAAATGTTATGGTATTTTGAAGTTTTTTTGTATGCCTTTAGAATCTTGTGAAGGTTGAAATATAGTAGTTCCATTCTCATAATATACACCTCAAACTTTTACATATGAAGTTATCTTATTTCCATTTTCATCAGATGGAGCTCCCACAACTTTAGTCAGCTTGATCGGACATAAGCAGTACAGACGTTGTGCGAGGGATATATATTACTTCAGTCAGGTTATACTCCTACTTCATTGCCGTATTCACCTGTTGCAAACTTCTTTCTTGTGTTTGCATTTACTTTTGGTGTCTCCTTGAAAAAAATTCTGCTAAACTAATAATTTAATGTCTTGTTTGCTTTTTAGTCTACTGTATGTGTGAAGCAACTTGCCTATGCAATTTTGGAACTTCTACTTGTCTCCGTCTTTCCTGAGATGAGGAATGTTGTATTGAGTGTTCATGAGAATGTAGATGTTCACAGAGCCTCGTGAGCCTTATGTTGTACATGAAATTTGGAAGAGAACAGGTTTTGGTTGTAGATTGTAGATGCAAGAACAGGAGCCATGACCGATGATTCCGGAAATTGGCTATTGGTTTTGAATCTGTTTCCAATTGTATAAAACTTTTAGATTAGATATAGGTTGTGTACAGAAACAAATGGGGCTGCATAACTGTGTTTGTTAATGCATATACCTCATTTTCATGGGGATTTTGTATTGTTACATATAATCTTAAGAAAAGCATCTAGTGAATATTCTTTATTTTTTAGTCATTAAGATTTGTGATTCTTTTGCTCAACTTTGTGTTTTCTATCGTTACAATGCAAAACAACCAGTAAGTTCAAAATCGAGTTAAACTATCTTCGGTTTCTTTATCAAAGTAAGCTTAAGTGAAGCAAGCAAAACTTGTATCCATTTTGTCAAATAATGTCCATGTGATCTAATCATTCCAAGACATGTTGAATGTCGTGTCTGGCAGTTGCTGGGTGATATCAGCTTGAAATGAATAAAAGCATGAAAACTTGAGCGACCGGAGGTTAATTATTATGAAAAAATGTTTGGATTTAAATATTTTGTATATATAACCGAGGTAAAAGTGAAGAACTATTACCTTGGTATTTATACCGAGGGGAAATATTATTATTATTTGTTTTTTATTTATTTATATCTTGATTTAAATCTTTATTACAAAATTATATTTTGGTCATTTATGAAACTTAAACATTGTATTTTTTGTCTATTTTTCAAATAGAGATATTGTTCTAAAAATATTTATTATTTACACCATTTGCAAGTTTTGGCACATATACACTTTATAATTTTACAACAAATTAAAACTAAAACAAATAATTAATCAGTAAAAGCAATAATCAAAATGCAAAGTCTTGTAGGTCGTTTAAAAGTTTTTTTTTATAATTTGTCACTTGTCGTTAAACACTGTAATTTGAATCACATTTAAAATCAATTAGAATCATTAATAACAACATTAAATCTTTAGAAAAAGAATTTAAAAATATAAATGCATAAATACATATTACTAAGTGTAAACCCATAATTCCTAAGACGGGTTACACGTCGGATGAAACATTTATATCATGACAATAGACCAATATATGAATCCGAAAGCCCATTTAAGGTCGGCCACATAAGCATAAGGCTGGTATGTACAAAAAAGGATGTTGTCTACGTATGGAGTCAGGACACCAATGACCCCCGACTATGAAGTCGACCCAGCCATTACGAAATGCCAAAATTCGCTTGGATGTTATGGAAACTCATAAACAGTGTTATATCTCATAAGGAGACGACGATAGTTTGAAATATGCTTTTATGAGTGAAGGTAGGGGGTCATCAATAACTGAATGTAAGGTCTACGGATGAAAGTATAAAAGGAAACTTTCTTAGAAGGTAAATGGGGCATTACAAGCTAATACACAAGCAAGCTAATAACCTTTAGCTAATAATTCAGTTGCAGCCTCACCTGATTAACTTCAGGGAGGTTATCCAAACATGTTTTATAAGAATATTTGGCACCCACTGTGAGGCTTAGGTAAAAAATTTCTAGGCCGCACATCAATATCACTTTCTTAGTGTCTCAAAGATGTTTGCGACATCACCCACAAGTGATGATTCTCCTCCAGATATGGCACACGTGCTGGCCATCGTGAAGGCTCCACGACAACATAATGAAACTCTGCAGGACAGGATTCAGAGCCTTCAGGCTCTAAGCCAGCTGGACGGGAACATAAAGGAAGAACTTCTAGATCCCCAACCATTGGCTGAAGCCATATGGGATGACTTTGTGTCAGAGAACTTCAAGTCACTGTCGTTGGCGTCTTTTAATGAGAAAAGTGACTCTCAGGAGCATATCATTTCCATCAACAATCAGATGGCGATAGTCGACGCCTCTGACTCCCTAAAATGCAAACTCATGGCCAACTGGACGGGGACAACATCCAGACCCTTCAGGCTCTAAGCCAGCTGGACAAGAACACAAAGGAAGAACTTCTGGATCCTCAACCATTGGCTGAAGCCATATGGGATGACTTTGTGTCGGAGAACTTCAAGTCACTGCCGTTGGCGTCTTTTGATGAGAAAAGTGACCCTCAGGAGCATATCATTTCCATCAACAATCAGATGGCGATAGTCAATGCCTCTGACTCCCTGAAATGCAAACTCATGGCCAAAATATTCAAGGACGTCGTCTTGCGCTGGTACATGAGCTTGTCGAGGTTCTCCATCACCGGGTACCAGGACTTAACCCAGAAGATGGTCCATCATTTTGCGACCAGTAATAGGAAGATGTCCACCACCAGCTTATTCAACGTACATCAGGGTCCCTCTGAGTCCCTCAACGAGTAAATGGTGCGTTTTAACGAAGAAACCATAAAAGTCTCGCACCCAAATAAAAAATGTTTGTAGGAGGTTTTCAGAATGGCCTGAGGGCCGACCACTTCAACGAGTCTCTAGTTCAGAAGCTGTAACACCCGAAATTCTAGATAAATTAATTAATTGATTACTTTAGTGTGATTATATGAGTCAATGTGAAGTGTTTGATGTCTTGATGATTATATATAATTCTTTATAGTGATTTGTGATATTAAGATGAATATGAAGTGTACCATGATGATTGAGATAAATAGGATGTTTGAATATGATGCTTGGATGAATATGATGTATGATGGGTTGCTATGTGTAGCATAGTGAGAATTAGACTAATTAAGAGGATTATTAGTATTTTAAAATAATTAGAATAATTGTTTAAAATTATTTTAATTGGGAAAAATAGAATAATAGAAGTGTAGAGAAAATAAGGGCATTGTGGTCATTAGTGAAGAATAAGTAAGGACAAGGTCGGAAGTTGATATTAGGGGTCTAAAGGTTATACAAGGAATTAAGGGAAAAGAAAGCCATTGTGGAACGATTGTAGAATTGAGAGAAAGAAACCGACATTGTGGAGAAAGGAGGCTAGGTTTTGATTTAAGGTTTAGATGATCAGTAGATTGCCTTAGGTTTTGGTGGATGGTGATTTGGTGTTGTTTGACGAGAAATTAATGAATTAGTGATGATTATTGGTGTATAATTGATGTATATTGAGTATAGAATTATAGGTTATTGATAGATGATGAAACCCTGTGATTAAATGGTGTTTTAAGATCTGTAATATGATAAAATCGCAAGAGAATTAGACTGGTTTATGCAGGAAATCACATCAGAAAAATCCTATTCACACAAGATAGTCGGGCAATGGGGAATGTGTCGTCGGGCGACGGAGCTTCGCCAGGCGAAGGTGGGAGCGAAGGGAGGCAGATTGGAGCTAGTTTCTGTAATGTTTCGCCCCTAGTGTAGCCAGGCAAAGTGTGACACGAGGGTAGCGTCTCTAGGCGGCGGAAGTATGTTTCCAGGCGACGGAAGGCAGAATTGGTTGTCCAAGTTGGAAATCTTAAAATGATCATAACTTTAGTTCTAGAGCTCGGATTGAGGTGTCGCTCGAAGTGTTGGATAAATAACGCGATGTAATTTAATTATATGGAGAAAAATGAGAATTAAGTAGTATATATATGAGACCTAAGTTAGAATAGAATTAGGTTGTCTAAGTTGGAAATCTTAAAATGATCATAACTTTAGTTCTAGAGCTCGGTTTGAGGTGTCGTTCGAAGCATTGGATAGCTAATGCAATGAAATTTAATTATGTTGGATAGAACTATTTTCCCTTTCAATGGTAAAGGTTTTTAATGAGTCATCCCCAATTTTTTATATGTGTGTGTGTCATCTTTTAACTATTACAAGTGGATGAAATAAGAGTCATAAAGTCCTGGTCGAAAACACTCCTCGTTCCTATAGAAAATTATTCCCGACCGAGTCAAGTAATTTATTGTTGTACCCCAAAAATTTCCCTCTCATTTCTCAAAGGATCACCATGGACCCTCAGGTTTGCTTCCATCCAATTTCAATCCTTGAATTACAAATTTTCCAAGAAAGTCCTTCACAAGGGCAAAATGGTCATTTGCACACTGAAAAGTCAAACTTTGACTTTTAGATCAAAATCAAGTTTCAAGAATCATATTTCATCAAGGCATGAAGGTTGCTTCACCAGGAAATTCAAAAGTCAAAATTACTTTGGAAAGGTCAAAATTCTAGATACTTAGAATTTTTCTAAGTGTTTTAAGAAATATGACAAGCTCAGAACTTTTGATCAGGTTATTACCATGATACAAGCTGATTCTGGAAGAATTTATAACTCAAGAGTTTTAGATCTCAATGAGACCTAAAACACTACAGAACAGAACTTCTTCTAGAAGTGTTGGGATTTCAAGTTGTACGTCTTCAAAGACACGTCTCTGAAGCTTAGGCACTTAGTAAATTCTGAACATTTTTAAGTCAGAAGTTGTCTACAACTTCTGGGCTAGTTTTCACATAGGTTCAGTCAGAATTTGCAAGAGTAATTCAAAGAAGGCTTACAAATCATGTCATAAGCTTTCTGGAAAGTCTGAGAACTCGCTCAGAACATGCTGGAGCGAAAAGATTAAAGGATCATAAGTTGCATGGTTGTTCTAAGTTACGCTGATGCTAAAATTCTGGCCCAGATTTAAGCTATGATGGACAATCTCATAGCGCATGATTTCTGGTTTGATAAATCTCATCATCATTTAATGCTCACAACCACTTTTGAGTTTTTATCCAAAGGATTTCCCCACGTGTGAGATAGAAGTACCATTGCTGTCCTTGAAAAGCAAACTTTTGTACGAGTTTATGCTGGGCCCATGTTTTGCTTTTGCCTCTGAGGGTACTTTTCCTTAATTCATGCTTACAAATCCAGCTTAGGCACGACTAAAAGCTGTTAATCACCATACTTATTTATCTTGCTTCAAGAACAAGCCAACACGTTAGCATGATGTTGGTACTTTTGACTTCTCCAAGCTGCAAAATTCTTGCCTATAAATTGAACTTCATTTGCAACTATGATGGGGCCGGTCAGAAAAGTTAAAAGG